TGTGTGTGTGTGTGTGTGTGTGTGTGTGTGTGTGGGTTTGTGTGCGTGTGTGTGTGTGTGTAACCTAAATTTAAAGTAAAACTGATCAGTTGATTTGTGTTTAGTTAAGCTGATTTAAGTTTTAGAAAAGAACAAACAAACTGAAGCTACTTCACCTTTTTTAACCTTCAAATTAGTTTGAATTGTTAATAATATCTTTCCTCAAACACGCTGTGAAAAAAGTAATTTGGATGATTTTTTTTTTCTCTCAGAGTCAATATCTGATTCAGAGCTGCAGCCGCGCGCACGCGCCCCATCAGCTGTAATTTCCCAGTAAGTGACTGGGTTCTCCCGGTGATTAAACAAGATGATCCATCCAGCTGCTGCTGCTGCTGCACCGCGGTGCATGTCGGGGAGGTTTGCAGGCCTTCCCGCTCGTGCATGCACAGCACGTCCGTGGCTGCAGAAAATACCTTCTGCTCAGTTTCACCGTCTCTATAATAAATATGAATTTATGAATCCTGACAAGCCACAGACTGGAAGAGCTGAGGAGCTGCTCCACGTTCTCCATCCTTTAAGAAAGAAAACCAGAAAGCCCTTTTCCGCCTCATCTTCTGTTTGTTTTCCAGCTCATGCCTGGTCATTTTAAGGTCGTAACACCTGACCTTTGACCTCTTTGTTTCTGCTGCTTGCAGTAATACCATGCAGGGTTTGATGCAGCCCCCGCAGCCAGTTCAAAACATGGAATCCAGTATAAAATATATATATAATGGTGCAGTTTGACAATGCTCACTTTAAATGTGCAATTCCGATATGTGGGTCTGCAATAAATATAAACAAATACATTTTATCTGCACACTTTGGCCCAACAAAGCTGAGTGTAAATACAATGCATCCGAATGTTTTCATCCAGAAATTACCATGTTGGCCTTTTTTTTTATTCCGGACACTATATGATTTACTTTTATCATTTTTTTAAACATGATATTGTGATGAGAATTAAAGCATGAACAGTGCAGTCAGTGAAGGCTGCAGTTCTCGTGATCAAAATAGCAATACTGAGCTGCAGCTTTGACTTTCTTGCACCGTTTTAAAACAATTCAATTTAAAGGTCAAACAGAAACATCATAAAGGAACAAAATTCACATTTCTTTCACCTTTAAAGTGTCTTTAAAAATGTGAGGAAAATGAGCTGAAAACAGGTGAACAAGGTGACACCCAGAGGCCGATTGGGATGAAGGATTTTTAATACTTGCTCATTTTGCAGATGCAAATGCTTTGTTTACATTGAGAGCAGACCCACACATCAGAAATCCGTGTCAATAAATTGGGAAAACTGTGAGTGCTCTCAAAACTGCCACCATTTGATTTAATTTAGGGTAACATTTTTTTATGTTTGAGTTTACAATAACTCCCTTTAATAGTTGATCCCAGTGAGAGAAAAAGTTGTTTTCAGTGTAAGTCTGCGCAGAGTTCCAGCTTCCTGTTGGCTCTGGGTGCAGTGAGACCCACACAGTGACTGTCTCGCCGGTGCAGGACCCACAGGGTAAAAAGTTGGGACGCTCTTGCTGGTATAGACTCTATAAAAAAACCCATCAAGTCCTAAATAAAAAAAACCAATATATTTATACTGAGACGCCACTGCAGGTCGTGCGTCAAGTCTGCTTTTACGCATCCAGCCAGCTCCAGTAGATGAACTTTCACCTCAACCTCTGAAGGACCTTTTTTTAAAGCTTGTATCTGTTGACCATTTTTACCTCCAGCTACTCGCCAGCCATCCACGCACGCATCCCTCCGTGCGTGCTGGGGCGGATCGATAGGGCAGCATCTGCTCCGGGAAGCCGGCGGTCCCACACCGCGCCGCGCTGCGCTCCTTCCGAACCAGAACCGGTCATCTCTGAGAATTAAACTGACAGACACACATATGATTAGTATGCGCGCTCTGCCTCTTTGCTTTCTGTCTGTCTCCTCTTTTTTCTCTCTCTCTTTCTTCTTATCAAGTTGGGCACGCGAACGTGCGCGCACGCGCAGGGTCCATCCACTCAGACAACATGTATATTTATTCATTTACGCAGCTTTAAATGGATGAACAACGTGGACAATGCGCGTGCTCAGGTGAAAGCACGCGTGCGCTCTCGTTCAGCTTCTTGCAGAGTTCCACGCACTCGCAGAGCAGCTTCTTTATTTGAGGTATTGTGATTGCGTGGGGCCTGCTCTGTGGTGCAGCAGCAGGACGCGGCTCTTATGGAAAAAAAAAGAAAGGGGGGGGGGGGGGGTTGCATTGATTTTGTGCAGGGGCTTTCCAGAATGAAGTGATTGAACAAAGCAGAGTGCTGATTAGAGAGAAAAACAAGAGCGTCACCCCAACAGACATTTAAGGGTTAATTGTCTTTAAAAACTAAATAAATAAAGAGAGGGAAAAAATCTTAAATATTTAATTGTAAAAGGTGTTTTTATTTAACAATAATTTAGTTATATTCTCAAAATTTAAGGTTTTAAGGTTTGTCAGAGCCAATTTCCCACTTTAGTGGAGACAATTAAAAAATACGACAAAATAAACACAAAATCTCTGTAAAAACGTGTTTTTTTCCATATTATTTTCATCCTACAGTACATTTCGCATATATCTCCATAATGTTGCATTGTGGCAAAATCAGCAGCATCACTTGTTTACATAAAAGGACAAATGTAAACATTCAATGATTAGACGCCATGAACGGCGGGAAGTCCGCGCATCATTCAGAAGTTGTGCGTGAAAGAAGGAGGAGGAGGAGGATGAGCTTTAACCTGTGGGGTTATGAGAAAAGGAGCATCTCCACCTCCGCACCCCCACTCCTCCATCCCATCCCCCCACCCCGGAGAGAAAAGGGTTAATTGGAGCAGGAATTTCATCGCACATCTGTCAGATTTTTAAGGCCGTGACGCACTGAAAGCTGGGAGTCAATGTGAGCCGGGGGGAGGGTGGAGGGGGGGGGGGGCTGTGGTGAGATCGATGAAGTGGCAGGCAGAGGGAGGAGGAGGAGGAAAATCTCACGAGATAATGAAAGAAAAAGAGGAGAGCTGCTCCAACACAGAGTGAAAACAGGAGCTCGTGGAGATTTGTTGTTTTTTTTCTCTCTCTCCCAAAAAAGGTCTGAAGCAGAGCTCGAAAAAAACGGAGACGGGAAAAAGGGGAGGGAGCGCGTGAGGTTTGTCAGTAACCGATGTTTTTATTTATTATTTTTATATCCCTATTTTTTGTGCGCGCGCTGTGGTTCGGTGAATGTAGCACCCCGGGGGCGCAGCCGGACCAATTGTGTGAATGTGTAGGTCTGCTCGGCGACACACGGTCGGAGAGATGCGCAGGGCGGACAGCAGCCGCGGACGCGCTCTGAGAAGTGGATAAAAAAAAAGGTAGGATGACGAATCTCTTCGGAAACGATTCAGTCAGTGAATTAATTGCCAATAAAGTAGAAAACGCACCGCTGATTTGCAGCGTTCACCACGCGGGAGCTCATTTATAACTTTAAATAATAACAACATCGCATAAAATCTTCAATTACATCATGTAAGGAGCAAATGTCGAAGTCTCGTGTCTTTATTTTTGTGCGTCCCGCTGATTATTTCAGCCCAATTTACCTAAAGGCTCTGATTATTGTTATTGTTTACCACGCATGTGCGTAAAATGAAGTCTGGAGAAACGTAATGCGGCTGTTTTTCTTTGTCTTTAATGGTGGAAGTTTGAGATTAGGGTTTGTAACAGCGCGCCTCTTGTCTCCCGCAGGCACAAAAGGCACAAAGCTGTTCTGCCGGAGAACAGCTGAGCACCAAAGACAAACAGCGTTCAGATGCACAAGTGAGAATAAAATAAACCATCCGGACTCCTCATGCTGCTGCAAACTTGTTTTCTAGGAGTTTGAGGGAGTTTGAAGACAGTACTTAATGTTATCAGATAATTAATTAGACACCCCATAAGCCCGGAAATCAATTAATTCACAAATCAATAAATCCATAGTCTGGTGTAACAAGAGACCTTCCAGACTGTTAGCCTGGCTGTTGAACAACAATAACAAGAGGACAGCAACAGCATTAAAAAAAACGCTTTTATTTGCTGAAATTGAAGATGGATGGGGGTCTAGGGGAGATGTCCCTCCACAGCCACTCGGATCTGGCTCACAGCCAGGATGGCAGGGCCATGCTGCACTCGCGGGACCTCTCGGCTGCCTTCCCCAGGCCTTCCCTCGGGAGCTCCTCCATGTCTCTGGAGCCGGAGCCCCGCGCGCCAGGCTACGACCACTCCATGTCGGCGCTGGGCTACAGCGGCGACTCCCCGTCCAGCGCCGGCAGCACCTACACTACCCTCACCCCCCTGCAGCCGTTCGATGATAAGTTCCACCACCACCACCACCACCATCACCCCTGCCTCCCCGTCAGCAACGTCATCGGCAGCTTCACGCTCATGCGCGAGGATCGAGGCCTCGGCACCAATTTCTACAACCCGTACGGCAAGGAGCTGGCCATGACCCAGAGTCTGTCACCCCCCACCACGGGTTCGGGCCTGGGATCCTCCATGCACGGCTATGGTGGTCTGGGCAATGGCTCCAACGGGAGCAGTGGACAGATGCTCCACGGCGGCTACGACGTCCACGGGGGGAGCCTGTTCTGCCGAACGTCAGATTTTGGCCGAGAGATGTCCCCACCAGGCTTGGGAGGAGGCGAGGTGTCAGTCGGGCATCAGCTGAACAAAATGGAGGCCCACCAGCACAACCCCAGCCACCACCCTCACATCTACAGCCAGCACTACCAGCCTCACCACCACCCAAGCCAGCAGGTGACCAAGATGGGCGAGCACCTCCACTCTTCGTCACCCACCGCGTCCTCGCCCGGCGAGGGCATGCTGCCCGGCTCGCAGGGCGGCGGAAGCGGCGGCGGGGAGGAGATCAACACCAGGGACGTGGCCCAGAGGATCATCACCGAGCTGAAGAGGTACAGCATCCCCCAGGCCATCTTCGCAGAGAGGGTCCTCTGCAGGTCGCAGGGCACGCTGTCCGACCTCCTGAGGAACCCCAAGCCCTGGGGCAAGCTCAAGTCTGGCCGCGAGACCTTCAAGAGGATGTCTCGTTGGTTGCAGGAACCCGAATTTCAAAGAATGGCCTCGCTCCGGCTGGAGGGTAAGCTCGGTCTCTGCTCTCTGTATGCCTCACACATCCACCTTCACCTTCACACAGAAAGCACAACAACAGACACACACTTTCCCCCCTTGTTTTCCCCAAACACCAGCCTTCTCCATGTCTTCCAAAAAATTTTCTTTTCTTCAGCGATCAGTATGCGGCTCAGGTTCATACATGAGGAAAAGCAAAAGCATCATGCGGATGTTTCTGCTCTTCACTGTGAGCAGGTACAACTGGTTCATCTGTAATCTCATCAGGTATTGATAATAAGAACTTCGCAGCACATTAAGGACAGTTTGAGCAAAAACAGGGCCATGTGTTCTGTCCTTTTGTTTACTTTGTTCCCAAACAGCACCTATTGATTTGTACAGTGGCTCCAGGAAAAAAAAATAGAAAAAAAAGCCTCAGACATTTGCCCTCATCTCAAATGAAGCATGAAGATCAACTTGAGCGGCGGTTGGCAATTTAATCGTTTTTTTAGCCCACGAAATGATTTGAACAGATATGCCATTCTGGAGCGATTGATTAATTTGAGCAGTGATTTAGATCTGCTCAGCGCCTGCCTGAAGTTGACTTGGCAAGGCACCTGATGCAAATTAGACTTGAGCTTTTGCCAGACGCCTTTTATCAACATCGTCACCGAGGCGATTACTGTGGAACTAAATACAAATGTTCTGCTCGTGGGAAGCCCCTCGCAGCTTTGTGGAGTTTGGAAGCGAAAAAAAAAAAGTCAGAAATGGTTGCCTAACTGCAGGTGCATGCATCGTGTTTATGCTCTCCTTTTGAGTGGAAACGAATTTGCAACAGTTCTTGGTTTTGTTTTCAGTCCTTCCAAAAAATGTGTGTGTTTTATGATTTGATCAGACAAAGCAACGCAGTTTAAACTCTTTTTTTGCAATCTTTAAAGGAAAACGTTCCAGCCGTTTAGTGATGCTCGGGGAATTAGCAGGCTGGCTTGATTGTATTTGTACAGATTTCAAAGAGTAAAGATTTTTATTTTGTTGAAAGGCACATTGTAATTCGCTGCTTGACATTTAATATTCTTCGGGGACGAGGACTGAAGCACGACAGCACGCTGTACAGTGCCGTGTTACAGTGTCGTCCCTCCACAGGGACCTGGAGGCCCATCTGATACACGCAGCACAGAAAGAAACCCAAGTGAGCACAGTAATATGAGACGAGCGTAGACAACCGTGTGTGTGTGTGTGTGTGTGTGTGTGTGTGTGTCTGACAGTGGCGTGCTCACTGCAGGGGTCTGTGAGCTGTACGTGTGTACGAGCCTGCCCGCTTCATCACTGCTCTTCGCTCTCTGTCAGCAGCTCCACTGATTAAGCCCAACAACACAATGGGGTTCATAGGTAATGATTGTGCACTCTTGCAATCCCTTCACAATTATTGATCTTTGATTGTTCAACTCTGAGAGCACATGTGTACATCCTCCATTCAGCGAAACGTCACGGCAATCATGGCCAAAGCTCTTATCTGAAGATGAGTTATCTCTGGGTTTTTGTCGTGTAATTTGGCTAGAATGCCGCTTTGTTTAATCCCATCGCGAGCCTGAGTGGATGGCTTCGATGCAAATGATCTTTTGCTCGCCCCTAAAGAAAACACAGTCATCGTGATGAAGCAGTCCTTCGAGCAGAAATCCAGATCCAGTCACTCGCCTTTATTTGCGGTGTCCCCTTTCTTCATCTTTACAAACACAACATTATTTCAGCGAGTCAGTGCGCCATGTCTGCGAAGCCGATCAATCAGACTCATAAAAAATTAAAGCCTACACAGAGAAGTGTTTTAATGCTTGACATTGCTTCTCTCTCTCTCTCTCTCTCTGCTCCCACACACTCAAAAAGTGCATATTTAGTTCTTGGCAAAGCCACAATTTAGACAGCTCGGCACTTTTCTACGTAACCTACTTTCCGAAGCGGGTTGTTGTGCTCCCCCCCCCCACTCCCGGCCAACCCCCTTTTGTTTAATTACAAGCCTGTATTGATTTCCATGGGAAAGAGCAGCACGCTTTGCCCACACACACCTCGGCCGCATCGGCAAAATCGAGACTGGAATTAGAATGCGCGGTGCCCTGTGCTCCTTAGTCTGAAGACAGCTCAAGTGCTCTCCGCTCCACGCCTCAAGTTTTAAGATGATCCTCCTTAATGCGGCACTCGCCTAAATACATAGAAGGCCCTTTAAAGTCAGCCGGAAGCGCTGTGTTATTTCCATAACCACGTCTCTTCTGTGGAGACCCGCACTGCTCTCCCTGAAGCTCGACGCACTGTAATTATGGAATGCAGTCGCTGCCATTTTCTCTTCAAACCGCCGTCTTTGTGCCGAGACACGTTGCAAAACACGGAGAAGGTGATCCTTCGGATTTATCTGCAGCATCTCGTTTGTGTTCACGCTCTGTGGATTACTGCACTGTATATGAGATGCATCTTCAAGCCAACCTCAGGCTGTGGAGGAGGCGATCAGGATTTAGTCGAAGAAGGAGGCAGGATAAAGACCACACAGCCGTGCTCCGACACTTAAAGTCAAGGAGGCGATCAGAGACTATAACTTTAAAGATGATGGCCGAAGCCCTTGACTAAAGGTCTGAATGAAAAAGAAAGGTCAATGCGGTTTACGTGCCGGCTCCATCGCCTGCACCACCCCCACAGCTGTGAACACCACAAAGCCTCGTCCACCCCTCGCTGTGTACAGTTCACATTCGGATGGCGAGGCTCAAAGGTCAGAACTGATTCCCATTTGCATATGAGGGCTCGCTAACGGTCCAGCATGGCTTCTGCCGTGCAGCAAGTGAACGGCGTCGCCGTTTTACTTGTTGTTTTTATTAATTTGACTCTTCCAGCTTCCCCAATCCCAGCACCGAAGGGGTTAACCAGCCTCTGTGGGTCGAGAAGTCTGAGCTGCACAGATTTAATCAATAATTTCTATCAGCCCCTGGCCCAAGAAATCAGCAGGGGGTGGGCTGGGGATGGAGGGGCGGGGGCTGGAAGGAGAGGACAGGGAGGGGGGGGTGGATTCTGGCTGGGAGGGGGGTTGTAGGTTTAGACGCCGGGGGGTAGGGAAAGGACTTTCGATCACATTTCAGCAACACAAGACAGGGGGCATACATCATGATTAGGGGCTGTTCCCACGATCATAAGAAGCCTATAGGGGAATATTTATATCTGCAGGAGTAGCCCCGGTGCCGGGAATTTATAGCATGGTAATTGTGAGCCTTTTACACATGATTACAGCATAAGGAAGCATTTACTTAATGGTCGCGATCGTCTGTGAGGCGGAGAGCTTGAGATGGAGGCGAGGAGAAGGAGGAGAGCAGCAGGACGCGGCGGCTCCTCCGACACGCTATAAATCCACGCTACAAGCAAGCTGTTCGGCACCATCATGTCATTCCTTTCATTACTACACGAGCCGAGCGCGCACACACCTACATCCCCAACCCCCAGCCCACAAATATCGATGGTAAAGGTGGCGTAAAACCCGTGAAAAATGTAGCATTTGGAAAAAAAAGCCAAAAAAATCATTTCACTCGTGGTGATATTGACATGCCGCTGACATCTCGGCCTGTTCAGATTTTAATGAGACGTGGTTCGATAACTCTCAGAAATGCAAACGAGCTCTTGATGCCCTAAAAGCTAACAGGCCCCTGTAATCTCAAGTTGACAGGAGTGCATCCCAGGGTCCAAACATTTCCTTCAGATAATGATTTTGGAGTTGAATGTTTGCAGGGAATTCATGACCAGATTTATTCATGCCTGCTCCAGTACTTCAGTTTCAGAAGCTCAGCTGCGATCAAAAAACCCCGCAGGTGCACACAACACAGCTTCTCAGGCCAGGGGTCCCACGCCGGAGATGTTGTGACGGCGCTTTTGTGTAAAAATGGGAAAGGCGGCTCTGAGGTCACGCTCATTTCTCAAGCACTCTGCTAATGGGAGAAATTTGCCAGTGTGAGTTGGAGGAGCGAAGGCTCGGCCGTACAGTAAACACCAGCAGCAGCCCTGATGCCTTTCTCAATAAGGAGCTGTAAGCCAATCAATTCAATGTGTCAGAGCTGGTATGAGAGTTAAAAAAAAAAGAAAAAAAATCAGCATCAGTGGTTTATAAAGTGTAATCTTATAACATGTGAGAGCTGGATGGAGTCTGTGTTTGCTGGACTTGGAAATATGAAAAATTAAGGTGATTTCTGTAGCTGATGGCGCCATCTGTGGAAGTCACTTAGCCAATAGAAAGGATTCAAAAACAGTTTTGTGTTTTCTTAAGTGAAGCAAAAACAACAAAAAGACATTTCAGCAAAATTCTTTCAGTTATTAAAAAATCTATAGATATGAACTTTGCCAAAAAGGTATATTTAATTAAACAAATACATAGAAAAACACTGGAAAAAGGTTGTTTTTTTAATAAAAACAAACACAAAACCATCATCTCTCTTTAAAGTTTGGGTCAGGGTGTCTCCAGAAAGCTTTCAAAAAGGTGGTCAGGTGAAGGCTGCTGATAGTCCAGGGGGGGCCCCACCAAAACCAAAAGCTACAATTTAATTATAAAACTTTTATTATGTTGTTTTTATCCAAAATCTGAAAACACTGTAATATGGAATTTAGAGTCAGCTGAAACTCCAGTGTCTTAATTTACAGTGAACCTTAATTACTGCCCAGTTGATTAAAGCATCTCTTTTATTCTCATAAGATCATATTTGTAAAAAAAATATTATTTATATACTGGAACCCTGCATCCTGATATGAGGAAATTGGCTTTCATGATATTTGATTCTGTTCAACTTACACCTCTTATTCAGAGAGCCTTGCTTTGAATTTTTAATTACAGAAATATATTAATATATATTGAATACGCCCTTCATGAGCCACCCTTAGTGTTAAATTTGAGCTCTAAAAGCCTGAATATCTTATTCTCTAATATTTATAGTAACCTTTTGCACATTTTAAGCTGTAAGATATAATCCACTGATAAATGTTTCATTATGTTTATATATTGTTTAAAAAAACCTTGTTACAAATTGTATTTTTTTCCTGTGCTGCACTGCTGTGCGTTGTGCACGTTCTCCACTGCTTACTCCTGGAAACACATCTGATACGGTCAGCAGAACAGCAGCCCAACAGCCACACAGCGCTGATTGAGACCTCTTAAAAGTGTGCATTTAGGTAATTGCAGGACTCCCCCAAATATGTTTTAGTCCACTTAAGGCTTCTAAACACCCCGTGGGCAAAGCAGCCTCTGCTTGTTTCTCCTCGGCCCTGACGTCACCCCGCCTAAACAGAAAATAAATTAGTTCCACCTAAAGTGATTATTCCTCACTCGCTGCCACCACATGTAAATGACTTTTATGTGAAACTAATGATGCTGTAGTGTTCACTGAAGGGAAGAGGAAGTGGTAGGAGATGAACGGAGGGAAGAGAGGGGAGGGGTGCGGCGGTGGGGAGTTGGCTCGGTACACAAAGGCAGAGAGGTTGGTGTTTTGTTTCCTGTAAATACAGAATTACAGCGTGTTCGAGGTGAAGGGTTCAGCGATGGATATGCAGAGGGAACATGCAGCCTGAATTTAAAACACCCGTCTGAGGCTCAAAATGGATCTGCTGCTCGGCCCACACACTTCAGGCTGCTTCTCATTCCTGCCCAACAAAACTGCCTCATTCTGCAGGTTAATTTTTTTTCTCGTTTCATTTTTATTTATTTTTTGATTCCAGATTTTTTTTCCCCTCTTCATGAGCTAATATTGATTATGTAATTGAGCAGGCTGCTGTGGCTGCAGCGGCGCTTAACCCAGACCTTGGGTTTCTTCTTCTGTGGTTGATGTATGCAAGACGAGCCCGGAAAATAATGCACGTAACACTAATAAAAACAAAATCACCATAGGACTTTTTCACCTCAGTCCCTGTGTGCACTGGTAAAGTATCAACAACTTTCACATTTTTTAACGAGAGCTGATGAATGTTAACATCTTCTGTGAAACAGATTCAAATCTAAACAAGGTTAAAAGAATGAAAAAAATCTGTTTTTTCATTTTGGAAAAAAAAACGCGGCTGAAAAGAACTCCAACAGATTTATTTTGCAAACAAATATATTTTCATACCATCTGTTTATGTTTTTTGAGGAATATTTTTTGGAAGACATATAACCAAACCAGATTTCACACTTTGTTTCCAGGCCAAATCTAAAAGAAAGAGAAAGGACTTCAAATAACAATAAAAAAAGAATAAAAACAGCATGATTAAAAACATCAGAGCTGTGGTTTTGAAACGTTTTCTTCTGCTTTTATCAGCTGCAGCCGACAGCAGCGCTCTGGCAACAAGATGTGAAAAGATTGAACATCTTGATTCCTTTACTGCACAATGAAACAAGCTGCTGATTCATCTCTTTTCAACTAATCAAAGTTGCTTAGCTAATCTGTTTTCTTTCAACAAATCCACTTTCTCTCAGCTTAATCCATTTGTCCTAGTTAGCCCAGCCAGTCTGTTAGCTAACCTGTTTCCCCCTGCCTCTCTCTCTAATGCATCTTTCATCCGTGTGCCCGCAGCCTGCAAGCGTAAGGAGCAGGAGCAGAGCAAGCTGGAGCGCAACCAGGGCCCCAAGCGCACCCGGCTGGTGTTCACGGACCTGCAGCGGCGCACGCTCATGGCCATCTTCAGGGAGAACCACCGGCCCACCAAGGAGCTGCAGGTCACCATCTCCCAGCAGCTGGGCCTGGAGCTCTCCACCGTCAGCAACTTCTTCATGAACGCTCGCCGACGCAACCTCAACAAGTGGGCGGACGAGGGGCGCCCCTCCTCCACGGGGTCCTCGGGCTCCAGCGTCTCCTCGTCCGCAGTGTCCTGCAGCACTGCGTGACCCCCCCCCACCCCCCCCCACCCAGACCGTCCGGGAAGGGCGCGCCACGGGAGGGAGCAAGGAGGCACATAGACTGGTCTGAGTGGAGATCAGCCGTTACACATGTCCTCCTCGTTATTAGAAGGAGCGACGGAGCCAGCTCTTAGAGATGATTCTATGAAGATGAAGCCCCCCCACACCCCCACCAAACCAAAGTTGATTGCCTCTTTGAAATGGAAGGAGGCAAAGCCCAGAGTGATCCAGCGGCGGGACGCGAGGCCCTGCTTGTACAAAAGGTGCACAGATGATTTGACTCAAACACTCTCACACCCTTACATAGACGCCATCTCATTGCGTTATTTTGATTGTGTAGTTTTTAGAGACAATGAGGGTATCACAAATCAGGAGGAAGCATATTTTGATGTACCTTCAAATTTATTTTTCATCTCTCCAAACCTGAAGAATCAAGAGGTGAAGTTTGCTCACGTCTGGAGAGCTCCATTGTTTTTAATCAAACGTGAAAACCGTTGTCCAAAGATGTTAACCTTTACCCCGAGTCCTCCTATTTTTCCTCGAGAATCAAGGTGAAAGAGGAAGAAAAGGCTTTTTTTTAATTCCCTTTTTGTTTTAGCATGTGTTTCCTTGGTGTTGGACTGTATGGTGCTGTTTCAAGTTTGGAGCCTGGGATAATCAGGAGGGTTCTGTAGCGTCTGTAAATCCCAGCCGTCAATCATTAACCACCAAGAGCATCTAAGGCATTTTGTCAAAATGGTCTCATCTTGAATTAATCAGAGGTTTCAAGGGGGATCTACAGTGCATCTCGACGTACGCCGGGACAAAATCAATAAACACAAGTAGGACGCCAAAACAGACTTGTTGATGCAACCGTTTAGCTTTAAGACTCTCGCTGAGCTTCCAAAGAAAAGCTCCACAGCCATTTTATAACACCAAGACCAAGCCACAGAAAAGAAGCAGAAAGGTTTTGAAGGGAAGAGGTTCACCTGACGAAGTGTACAGTGACGTTTTAGTATTTTTTCGAATCATTTCCAAAGTAAACTGTCAACACACACCTCTGCTCCGTTCTGAAACCTTTTCCTTTTTTTCTTTTTTTTTCTTCTTCTTTTTTACAGATGTCTAGAAAATGGAGGAATGTGATTCTTTCTGCCCTTTTTGTACAGATTTCAAGCACATCGATCTATTTATAGAACCACGTTGGAAGTGCGGGGCAGTTTGTTTCAGCCCTGCTGACGTACAAGGTCTTTTTTTTTTGGTCCACGAAGGAACGGCTTTAACACGCCTCCTTATAACCAAAAGATGAATCAAACCAAGAACATTTCAAATGCAATTACTGACCTGATCATGCTATTTATTTCTGTATTTGTGTATTTATTGATTTTCCTTTTTTCTCTTTCTGTATTTATTTGGTAATTTATTTATGCTATCTATATACTGTAAGTATTTATTTAACAATGCTCTGTATGTCTGTGTGAAACTTAAGACTTTTTTCTGATGGGCACTTTTAGCTGTAGAATCCCATCGTAATACCAAAGATTACCATTGCCTCCCTGAATGTACGGCCTGAATCCCTGAACCCAGTACCCGATCCAAACCCAGTCCAACCCGATCCACCCAGTGATGTTGCGTATTTCTCGATCCTGAAGGCCTGGCCTTTTTGGTTATTTTTATTTTATTTTGTAGACTATTGGGGAATTCTTTACTCTTGCAAATGTCTCTGCTGTCAGATCTTAATGCCAAGGCCAAAGCTTGTTTGAATGTTGTGATAATATTTATAATTAATAATACTATGAATAATAATAGTGACAAAGACGATGTGGCATCCCATGGATTTAGAAGTTGCTTGTAAAGTCATTTTCAGACCAGCGTCACCCGGAGGTGTGCGTCTTTGGGGTCCAGGGGCCCAGGGGAGTGGGAATCCTCCATGTGTGCTGCTGTGTGTCTGCTTGGCTAAACATGCATGGTTGTGACCACCACTTCCTTCACCCGAACCCCTCCCCAGTGCAGAAACTCATGTCGATGTCCAGTTCAGTGTGAACTCACTGTTCCCCCCATATGCCAAGCTCTTCTGCCAGTTTGCTCAGTTCCATCCGGGGGGGAG